CAGCAGGAAAAAACAAGCATAACTGTGGTTCCAACCTTTCTACACAAACAAATGCAGTTCATGCTCCCATAATGCTAGGGAGGCAGCAAGCAAGTGTGGGAGAAAAGGGGAGGATCTGGGAGTGGAGAACTGGGGGCAGGCACGGACAGAAAAAGAGTCCTAGGGGAGCCTGGGTTTTCAAGAGCAATTGCCAGAACGGGAAGTGGACATGATGACTCCAGGGTCAGCAATATTAACGCAAAGAGCACACTGCGTTGGGACTGAACGAGACATGAGTTCTAATCCTGCGTCTGTCACTAACCAGCTCTGCGAGCTCGGGCAACTCATTCCACCTCTGTGTCTCAGCTTGTTAAATAGAGATAATATGACTATTCATCCAGGGGATTGAAGGACAGTCTAGAAAGCACTTGGAAGAGTTCCAAGCATCACCCTCACATTTGGTATACTTTTGCATACATGGCTCCAGGTCCTCTGGCCCCTTTCCACAGTCCCTGCCTGTTTCTAACCCCCCAGGAACCTGTATGACTTGCCCATGATCACCTGGCACATGAGATGCCAGTCAGTTCCCCTAACCCTCCCTGGGGTGCTGGCGTTGAGGAAGCCCCATCTGTGTGTGGAGGGTATGAGTACCTGTGGGGTATCTCCATTTTAAGAAGCAGTCTCCAGTTCAGCCATGACTGTGTACCCCAAGTCATCTCTTCTTCCTCAGACCCTGACTCTGTGGGTCGGCAAGGGGGGAACCCCATCAGACAGTGTGTGTGTGTGTGTGTGTGTGTGTGTGTGTGTGTGTGTAAAATGGCTGGGGTAGGGGACGGGTGGCACAGAGAGAATTACCTGTCCAGTTTTTTAAGAGAAAACTTCCCTTACTTCCCATGTTTCATGGTGCTTCTCAGACTTTAATTCAAACTACTCGAGGATTTTGTTAAACTGTGGGTTCTGATTCAGTAGGTCTGGGAAGTGGGGTGGCAAAGTCCTACATTTCTTTCAAGGTCCCAGATGATGGTCTTTGGACCTCATTTTGAGTAACAGGCTGCAGCTTACCCATCACCACCCCCAGCTCTGACACCTGTGGCCCAGAAGGTAAGCTTGATGGGGTCAGGGGCCCTGCCAGGCTGTGTGTGTGTGTGTGTGTGTGTGTGTGTGTGTGTGTGTGTGTGTGTGTGTGTGAGCGCATGCACTATAGGCTCTCTTTCCTGCCATCACGGACACAAGGCTGAAGCCAAGGCCCTCACAAAGAGCAAATGCGTCCCTGAGCTGAACAAAGTACCCCCCTGCCGGAAGTGAACCCTAGGGACACACAACTTCCTCCCCAGAGGCCCACCCTCTCCTAGTCTCCTCCTCCTCTGGGGGTTGGCTGACTCACGCCCCACACCAGCCAGGGGGCTCACTCACCACCTTGAAGTCCTCAGCGCTGCAGACCTCCCCCCGGAAGTGGCAGGAGAGCAGCATGTCTCGAATGTCGTGCCCCGCACGGTCGTAGAACTCGCGCATGTTGAAGGGCTTGGGCTTGAAGCTGCGGAAGTTGGCCTTGTCCTGCAGTATCTCCAGCTGCTTTTCATCTGCCATCTGTGTGTCTGGTATCTCATACCTGGAGCAGGGTGGGGTGTGGTGAGGGTGTGAGCAGTGCATATGGATCGGCAGGACCTTCAGTTCCTGCCTCCATCTGGCCTCCGGTGTCCCATGCCCAACCCTGGGGGGAGGGCAGCATCCAGCCCTGGACAGAGGCATGAAAGGAGAGCTGGGCGGTGTCTAGAGGATCTGCCCCGTGGGGTCTGAGAAGGCAGAGGATGGCAGTGGCTGCCCAGGGGCCGGGCATCTGAGCACGTGGGTAAGCATGGGTGGGCAGAGAGATCAGGGCAGGAACTATGGCTTTTATACCATAGTTTCTACCCTTTCAAGATGGTATGCCCGGATCCCCCAACAGAGGAGAATATCGAGACGTAGTGGCGGGAGTGTGGCCATGTCTCACAGCTGGGATCAGAGATTGGGTGCCCTTGATTGAGTGCTTGGCAGTACCCCGATCTCTTTGCTGTGAGTGGCAGGTTTGGGGGCCTGCAGGGCAGGGTGGTATGGGCTGTATGGTGGCTTAGAGAGGAAGCACCCGGACAGAGGGTCTGGCAGCCGGAGTGGGTAGGAGCCTCCCACCTGTTGTTGAGCAGAGCCAGCAGCTCCCCAGCGTGGTACAGGTCATTCTTGGAGACTTGGCTAAAGCGGAACTCGTTGAGGTTGCACAGCGTGACCGCGGGGAAGGTGAGCTGGGAGGCAGCCACCTCGTCGAGCTTGGTGACGTGGTGGTAGTGGAAATAGTACTGCACGCGCTCGGTGCACACACACAGCAGCACAGCCAGCGAGCCCAGGAAGCAGAGGGCCCAGAGCGCCCGCTTCAGAGACAGCCGCTCGTAGGAGAAGATGTGGGCCAGGCCGTGCAACGTGGAGCTGCTGGCGAAGGCCTGGATGCTCACCGGCTGGACGCCACCCACCTCCTCCTCCTCAGCCTTCAGTTCCATCCTGGCCGAGGGGATCCTGGGGAAAGGGGGTGGGGGAGTCTGTCATGGTCCTGGGATGAGAGTACACACAGCATCCCTCCAGATGTGTCCATCCCCATCTCCAGAGGTCACTGTCTCTGGTGCGCAAGCCCAGAGGTGGCTGGCTGGGGGACACACTCTCAGAAGAGGGTTCCTCCAAATGCAGGGTTTTGGGAGTCAGCCTAGGCCAAGAGAATGCTCTCCCAGGGAAGACTCCCAGGCCAGGGGAGACCCCAGATGCAGTCACCCGAGGGTGAGAGGGAAGTCCCAGTGCTCCCACAGGCAGGCACAGGAGTTTCCTCCAGATGTGGGGTCACTCTGGGACGGGAATGTCCACCCATCCTGGACAGGAAAACTCCCCCAAATGGGCTGAACCCGGGATCAAGAGTTCCCGGTCAAGGGTGTCCCCAGGACTGGGCTTTCGCCCCCATGAGCTAGACCTGGGCCAGAAACCCCCCAGGCAGGTGGGGGGCGGCCCAGGGAGGTGGGGAGGGGCCTACCCGAGTCCTCACCTGCGGGTGTCTCCGGTTCTCTGAACGGCGCAGGCTGTATGTGTGCATGTTTGGGGTGGGGGTGGGGTGGGGGCAGAGGGCATCCCGAGGTGGCTGCACAGAGATGGGGGCGCGGTTCCCTCTGACAGCGAGCTGTCCCCGCCCCGGACGCCCCCCCACCCCGTTCTCGCTTCTCGACGCAGCCAGATCCCCTGCTCGGCCCCCGCCCCCCTCCCCAGCCACTGAGCCGCCCCAGAAGCTGGGGAAAGCTAGAGGGGAGGAAAGTCCCGGCTTCGGGGCGCTGGGGAGTCCCGCAGCCAAAGGAGGGGGAATCGGAGACCCACCTGAGGGGGATTCGGGAACCCGGCAACCGGCGGCGGGTCCTGGGGCGCGGGGCCGGACGCGGGCTCAGCGGCTAGCCTCGGAGGGGCTCATGGCCCGGAGCGGGAGCCGGCGGCCGCCGCGGCAAGCCGCGCAGAGCCCTGCAGGGAGCGGCCCGCCCGGCCCGGCTCGGCTCGGCTCCGTACGCCCGCCGCGCGCGCTCCCTCGCTCGCCTCGGCTTGGTCCGCCCGGGCTTGGCGTGGTGCGCTGTGTGCGGTGCTCTCAGCCCCGGGATCTGCAGGGATCCATCGTCCGGCCGGGAGGCGGCGGGAGGGGAGGCAGAGGGGGAGGGGAGAGGGTGCGCGTGCGCGCCTACGAGTGTCTGCGAGGCTGTCTCTGGGCCGGTGTGCGCGCGGGGCCCCCGGACCGGGGAACGGGATCGAGGGCTCCCCCCGCTGTCTCGTCCCCTCCTCCCAGCCGCTCTTGGCGGCGCTGCCTCCCTCGGTCCCGGAGCCGTCCCCCTGCCTGCGAGGCCCTATGGCTTGTGTGTGACTGTGTGTGGTGTGTGTGTGTGTGCGCGCGCGCGGGGGGGAAGGTGTCTGCCCCCAGCGTCCCCCTCCCTGCGCTGTCTCCTTCGGATCGGTGCTCCTGCCTCTTGCTGCTGCTTCCTCTGGTGGCACGCGCGCGCGCGCGCGCGCGCGCACACACACACACACACACAAACAGAGGCAAGCTCCGAGTCACACTTGACTGATTCAAGCACTTGCCCGTGTGGAGACACACACACATATACAGACCAGAGTCACACCACGCCACTCACAGCCACACGCACCTCCCACAGACACCCACACACCCCAGAAGCCTGGCCCACAGGGCAGGAGCTCAAGAGCTTACAAGTATTCACCTGCTCTTATCCCTGCTCCCCACCTACATGTGGCACTGTACACACATGTACATATATAAACAAACACGCAGCCTTGGCCACCCAAACCCCATCCTTGTAGCCTTGGCCTTGCCTTGGGGAGGGCAGGTTGGCAGCTCCTCACTGCCAAACCTCTAAAGAAGGAGCAGAGAGAAGGAGGGAGAAACAGCCAGAGGTCAAGGGAAATTGGACTGAAGTCAAGAAACAGGGAAAGGGAAGGGAATGCGGGGCGGTGGGAGGGTGTAGGGTTGGGGGGAGGTGGACAGGATGAAGAAGGGATGGAAGGGGGAGCTGTACTCAGGGACGGAGCTGAATTCTGAGGCACTGAGACCAGGCCTGGGGGTAGGGGTGCTTCTCCTCTAGCTCGCACCTCTCTCCTCCTCCTCCCTCTCTAAGAGGTCTTGGGGGGCCCTCCCTATCCAATTAACAGAGAAGGAGCAATCAAAGGGAAGTTGTTAATTTGCTGATGCTCATTAGGGGCTCTTGGCACGAAGACCCTTGAGGTCTGATGGTGTCAGATGATGGTGGGGGCAGGACCAGAATTCTACCTCTAACTACTCCTTCACTCCACTTGCGGGCTGGTGCAGCTCAGGGAGAGGAAGGTGAGAGGTGTGTTCCCAGGGTTTTAAGTTAGAATGAGAACCTGTAATGAGAAGGGGCTGGCACAGTAGAAAGAAGTTGGAAGAGAAGTTGTGAGGGCTTGGGGCCACGGGGCACATGGGAAGCCAGGGAAGGAAGCTGGAGATCCCTCGAGGGAGGGTTGGCTTAGGGCTGCAGAGGAGGGAGAGTAGGATCCATTAACTAGGTACCTGGGCAAGGCGCTACCAAAAAAGGAAAGGAGGATCTTAGGTTCTCCTCTTGAACTGGGGAGCTGTCCAGCAGCACCAGGCCTTTCCGGAGGGCTGCCATGTCCGTGGGTAGCCACTGGGTGGCAGCACCCTCCCAGGTACTTAGAAGCAACCAAAAGGGGCATTTGGGAGTGGGATTTCAGCCTGGGACGGCGCCAAGCAGGGGCACCTGAGGAAGCACTGGGCAGGGTCTGATCCCTGAATTCCAGGTGTCCTCGGGAGGAGGGGTGGACCATTTTGGAGCATCTGTAATTCCCCTAACTCCCCACCCTTGCAGAGGCTGAATGACACACAGAGCTTCTTCAAATGGCTGCAAATTGCTCAGTCACCTGGGATGTTACTGAGGGAGCAGCGGGGGAGGAAGGAAGGCGATGAGATGAGGTGGAGGCAGGCAAGGACTGATTGAGGCCAAGGAGCAGCCTCAGGAGGAGTCTGGGGAAAGATAAAAGTGAATCAGGCAATCTCAGATTCCAGACCTGGTCCTGCCATTCATTAGCATGGGCAGGTCCCTTGACCCCTCTGAGCTCAGTTTCCTCATCTGTAAGTTGGGGATAATATTTATTTCACAGGAGTTTCTGAGAATTACATGAGCTAATGCATAGAAACTGCTTAGTACATTAACTTGTACTTAGTAAATCCTCAATAAGTAATAACTATCATGATTAGCATTAGTGTTTGAATCCAGTGGTAAAACCACCAGTGCAGCCAAATCAGCCCAGGCTGCACATTTGAATCACCTGTGGAGCTTTTTCAACTGCTGCTGCTGTGGCTCTGCTTTAGACCAATTAAATCAGAATCTCCGGAGGTGGGGCCCAGATTTCCCAACTTTTCAAGACCTGTAATATATAGCAGTCAGTCTTGAGAAGCCTTGATGTTCAGAACCCACGGGTCTCGATCAAGCCTTCAGTTATGATTCCTTGTGTGTCAGGCCCCAGCTTTAGAAGTTCTTTCTTATGTACAACCTGAGTCCCTTTTGCTCCTGTTTCGTCTTCATTTGAGGTGAGATGGATCCCTGCACACATCCCCCCATCCCTGCCCTGTACATTTTGGCAAACCTCCACTGAGGCTTTTCCTGTGTCCAGCCCCAGGATTGGCCCTGGAGACATGGGCCAAAGTCTCTCAGTCTCAGAGGAGAGATGAACATGCTGACACCCACCTGAATCTAGTCTAGCAAAAACCGAGTGAAATTGAGGGATGGGGCAGCATCGAGTGGCAGAGGGGCAAGTCATACTGACAGGGGTTTGCAGCACAGGGATGAGGAAAAGGGGAAGTTGGCTTTGGTAAGATGACACTTGAGGGATCCAAGGGCTGTGATTAGTGTCACACCGCTCCTTTCTGCTTCTCTGGGCCCACCTACCTCTTATTCAGGCCTTGACAGATCCTAGCTCCTTCAGCCTCCTCCCAGCTTCTTGTCCACACTTCCCTCCTCTCTGGTCACTGCAGTCCCTAGAACTCAGTACCCTTTCTCTCCTGGGGCTGAGAGAGAAATAGGCCTGGAGATATCCCGCCCTCCACTGCATGAGGCATCTGGCTAGGACCCACCCAGGGCTTTGGCATCATGCTGACCTGGATTCAAGTCCCACCTCTGTCACACCAGCACTCTGTGATCCTGGGCAAGTTCCTTAACCTGTCTGAGCCTCCCTTTCTCCACAAACCATAAAATCTGGTTAATGCCCACAGTGATGAAAAATGTCTGCCTGGGAAACAGTAGGTGTTTCATCAATAGTGGCAAGTATTATTTTCATCCCTGAGAGGCTGATGGGGCAAATCCCCCATGGACACTTCCCTTGCAGATGGCCCCATCTGCTCTAGGTGCAGAAGCACCCTCCAGCCTCTCAGAGACAGGGAGATAAGGGGGAGGGCAAAGGGGGGGGCAAGGCCCCCTGGGACTCCTAGTCAGCTCTTCTCTGCTCCCCGTGCTTGAAGTCACACGTACCCCCATCTGTCTGCAACCATTTCATCTGTGAGCTCAGCAAATGCAGAGACAGTTAAGGAGTTAATTAGCAGACAGTGGGAAGGGGCTGTGGACCTGAGGCTGATGAGACCCATCAACACACCTCTCCCCCACCCCTCCGGACTCCACTTTGCCCCTTGACCCTCATCTTCTCACCCTGGTCCAGATGGTCATGTCACCTCCTCCCTCGTTTCTCTGCTACCCTTGCCTTTACCCTACCCCCCACCCCCGGCCTATCCTATCCTGTCCTCTCTTCTTCCCCATTCCCCTCGCTAATCTCTCCCCTGCCCCACTTAGCTTTTCCTCCCTTCGCCCCCCCAAATCACTGCTTTCTCCATCTTTTGGGGGCTCACCCTTTTCTCCTCTCCATGTTCTCCTGTCATTCTGGCCCCTCTTCACTCTCCACGCCTTCTCCCTCTCCCCACATCACCCCTCTCTCTCCAGCA